TTATCAGGAATTACTTCATGTAATTCCACCTGACTGTTAAATTCTCAGTTTGCACATGCATAATTGCACATTCATTGCTGACTGTTGCACATACAGCTTCCGATGTAACATACATTGTCTTATTATATTTTTAATACAATTCTTTTCACTTGCTGTTTTTAAAGTGCCTTTATATTGTATTACTATTTATCTACTTTATATTTTGCTTGTATTGTTTGGTATTCATCGTGGACAGCAAAGTATGAATTTGATTGTACAGGGAAACATGTTTCCTCACTGTGCATATGAGAGTAAACACTTTGACTCTGACTTGACTTGATTACAGGTACTGTAACTACTGTGTAGCTTTCAAACAGCCCTGTTGTATATGTAGATTTTGTGTGTGTGTGTACATGACCATAAAGAGCCCATGGCATGCTCATTTCAAGTCATTTAATGTTTAATGTTGGGTACCTCTAGATTGTCTTTGCACCCATCATACTGTAACTTGAAATATTCTGTAATTATTTCAGAAAGATAAAACCAGAAAGCCTCCTCGTAAAAAGGAGAGGATAGATCATGAACGCTGTCAATGTTGTGCCAAAATCTGTTTCCCCACTGAGATGTGTTTCCCCTAACCCGAAGCCTGACATTATCCTAACCACAACCACTGAGTGGGTCGCTACATGAAACCGAGTTTTGAACAGAGGAAACACATTTCGACAGAGGAACACTTTTCGACACAAGACCGATCAGGAGGCCAGGACAACACATAAAAATACACTGACAAATAAGCTGTTTTCAACAATGACAATAGTTCAAATCCTACCTGACATGTTTGATCCAGAATATGAAAATGGACAGTACGATGAACCACAACAGCATTAATTAATTTGGATTTCTCCTCCATAGATAGGTAAACAATGGTATATGTACCAATGAAAAGAGATTTGTAACACACTAAACAAAGTGGGTAATTGAGAAACCCCATATTTTAACTGACATACAGTAGTAACTTCTCCAGCCTTACAACAATTCTCACTAATGTTACAGAAACAATGCATTAACAAACATGCAACATGTGTGTTTCTTTCTTTTTTTTTTTTTTTACTTACTGTTACATCCCACCAAGTAGTGGAAACATCACTCCCTTTCAAGTAGCTCCAAGGTCAGTAAATCCAACTGGTGGTTGCTGCGTCTTCCTCCACATGACCACATACATTACCAAAGTAGTGAAATTAATTCCAACAGGTAGCGTAGCACCGACAGTAACATTGTTAGATCGTTAGAATCCTCTCTCCAACACATCATATGTGGCAGACACACTGGCCTCAAGCAGTCAAAATAAACAGGTACTGTGATCTAGGGGAATCCAGCATTGATGAACTAATCATTCACTGCCCCAGGGTGTTTCACTGGCTGGCTGCTTGTAGGTTAGACCCTGTCAGGTAAAGCAGCGAGTCCCTGTAAAGCTGGGGTGCCCACACTTTTCGCCTTGCGAGCTACTTTTCAAATGACGAAGTCAAAATGATCGACCTGCGCACGCGCACACACACATACACACACAAAATAAATGTATGAATGAGTGTCATAGTTTTTATGAACAGTGTGAAAGTGCCGCTCCACATTTCCCTTCGGAATAGTAGATTGGTAGATCAAGCAAACGCATTTCGAATATAATGTCGCGAAAAAAAAGTCCTCCCATTCCACATGGAATGTTTTTGGTACATTTTCGGTTTCTTACTTGATTCGGCTCCTCCACTCATTTTATATCCTTTAGTAGACATTAATTCGAAGGCTGACAAGTTAGTTCGCTCACTGGAGTTTTGCAGTAGCTCATGTGGTTGACTGTGCATGTTTGGTGACGTGTGTCAGAAAAGACAAGATCTCAGACTGGCTGCCCCACATGTCAATAAAGTAGCAAATGCCATAGGGAGGATGGATGATAGGTTATATATGAATGATTGGCACTTTCTGCTTTTGTTGTTAGGGGTCGCCATAGCGAATCATCACACTGACCATTCGCATGTTAACATTTGGCACGTGTTTTATGCCAGATACATTTAATTTATTTTTGAATGGCACACAATCTACCGACACTACCTTCGCAATCCACCGGTCGATCGCGATCGACGTATTGGGCACCCCTGCTGTAGAGGAACAGTCTAGACTCAGCTTAGTCCAGATAAAAAGAAAGAGACATCTGAGCTAATTTCAAACATCCAAACTGGCATTATTTGCCTTTGAAGCCTGTGGTATATGTAATCATGTCCCTGGCCATGTGACATGAAATGCACATATTTAGCTTTATTTTGTTTTTGTTTCCACCACCTTGCGAGAAATATCATATATCTGGCACTGCTGAATGCTCTACTGTGCTCACCAGCTAGATGCCAACATGTACTATATGCCTTAGTAGTGCACTTCTTTGCTAAAAACAGCCACATGTTGTACATTGAAATGAGTTTGATCAGTGCAAAGTGACTGAATGAAACAAGAAATGGTGCCCCAAAACAAAAATCAAATACAAAGCTGAAAGAGGGTAAAATGCTCTATAGAGCTGTTGGGTGACAATTTTAGGTCATTGCTGCTATATTTCATTACGAATAGTCATTTGATTATTATTTGATTGTGTTAGGTATTTTTAATCAGATAGATATTGGTTAGGTACTTGTTGTATTAGAAATGTTTTTAGTGTAGACAGGATGTCTAGCTCAGGCTGTTAAATGCTTAGTCATTTTCATGAGTTACTCCAGGTTGTTTATGGTCAAGGATAACTAGATAGAGAGTTGATTACTCTATCACGTGCTTAATCATAATCATAAGATCTTCTTATGCCTAATGTCAGGACATGTCACTGAATGTCCTGTCAGAATGTTTTTAGATACACACCCCACAAACACCACACACACACACACACACACACACACACACATTGATTTTCTTCATGTTTTGACTATTGCTATGGCCAGCTGCAAAGCTGGCAACAGAGACGTCACGATTTGACGTCCCTGTGTAGAATGGGGTTAGCCCAAAACAGATATAATGTACAGGCCTGTTGGGTTCGGGGTCTTTCATCTTCCAGCTGCCTGCGTGCATGTTGGGGGTGCAAGATACCTGTAATGTTAATTTTTACCTGTGTTCATTGAATAAATCAGCACTGTATTGAAGTTACTTGGACTACCTCGTCTCTCAGAATTAGCGTGGTACAAGAACTGGAAAGACTTCAATTGTTATAATACAAATATTGATTACAGCAGTTTTAAGATTTGGTGTCCTTGGTATATATACTTTCATTATAAGTACTGTATATAATTGTGTATATATTAAATACACAACAATGCATAAATAATTGTGATCCAATAATATGATATACATTAGTGTAAGATGTGCTTAATTATTACTTTTATTTTTGGCACTTGAAGTATACTTTGGTACTAATACTTTTGTGCTTTTATCATTTTTATGCAGGACTTTCACTTGTAACAGAGTAGTTTTACACTGTGGTATTGCTACTTTTTCCTAAGTAAACAATCTGAGTACTTCTTCCACCAGAGGATGTCCACTTAGCACCAGAAATGACCTATGAAATGTGGATGGTTATTCAAAGGTCCAGGACAAGGAACTCTGAAGGACAAGGACCTGTCAATTGTTACCTCAGTGTTTCAAGACTAACATGGTCATTGTATTGCAAATGTTTCCAACAAAATTGGAAGCACAGCTTTAGGTCGACCTGCTCCTCTCAGTTGGCCAAGTTTTTGTTTGTGTCAAGGTGCCTACCTTGATGCAGCACCAATGCAGTAGCAGAAGTAACAAGCATTAGTGGAGCTACCAGTGATGTACTGAAGGAACATTTATGTGACAGGTTTACTTTCACTGTGATTATAAGCTTGTCAATAGCACTGCTGTTCTTATGACCTCCTTGAGTTTGATAGCCAAACTAGCTTAAGGCTCCATTCACACAAACATTTGCCCAACAGAAGGTGTTGCGTTGGTGGGGATGTGTTGTTTTATCTACATGTAGTGGTGAGCCAACGAAATACAATCTGGAAAGTCCAGCTGGAGGAATGAATTTTTGTTTTAAATCTTATTAGATGCCAAAACACAGCAAAGTGTCAGGACTGTACAACTCTGGAAAGTTATGCCAGCATCTCTCCCGTGTTTGGTTGTGACAGTCTCAACTGAAATAGCAGAAGTACAGCGTTTATGTTTCAAACGATCCATCAGGAATGTGAGTTTGAGTGTACATGTTTGGCCAATGCAACATTTTACTGGATGATGTGATGTTGCATTGCAGACAACATTGAACTGATGTGTTCAACTTTTGTTTTTCACAAAATGCTGCTTTGTTTTGGCATGGTTATGTATGACCGTGCACTTCCCTCATTCAAATGAATGAGAAGGGCTGTGTTTCTTTTTCAGAGTTCACTCTGTGTGAACAACTGCCATAACAGTAAAAAGCTCATTTAAGGCCAGTGGGGTATTTAGACAGTAACACAATTTACATGAATACATACAAGATGTCCATCCATAATCCTGAATTGGTTGTTTATTTGTGTGAGAAAATATGATGAAGTGGGTCTTACTGTAGTTAGAACACCACATACAGCACTACTAAGCCACAAAGTTGATTGAAATGGTGAAAATCTTTATTAAGGACAAGAGAAAACAAACACGACTCATGGATTTTTGTCAGCTTGGTGCCATTTGTCACTGACACTTGGGGTATATGCTTCTCGTAGCCATCTTTAATAGTCTGACATTTAAAGGCCGTTACTCTCAGCCTCCCTCTCCTCTGTTTCACAGACAGGCATGCACATGCAGTAGCACATATCCATATGCGTCAACATACAAATGTGCTCACACACAAATAACTCAAAGATTTAACTTATTTCACACTGCAGAAGAGTTTGTTGCATACTCGGTGCAGCATGTTCAGTTTTAAGTCAGACTCTTTATTAATGGTTTATGTGTGTGTGTGTGTGTGTGTGTGTGTGTGTGTGTGTGTGTGTGTGTAACAGAAATGTGAGTTCCGCAGGTGAGGAGGCCCGGAGGAGGATGAGGGAGTGCGAGGGGCTGACAGATGCTCTGCTGTATGTCATCCAGACCGCTCTAGGGAGCAGTGAGATTGACAGCAAGGTAACTCATACACACACAAATATGCACATACATAAGCCATCCAGAATACTATGCACAAAACTCCTGTAGCCTCTAGCTCTAGCTCATGCAAATACAGAATCACCTGAGCAATATGGTACATAGCAAATAGCAGCTGTTGACAGCAAATTGATGTACTTAATTTGCTGAAATATAAACAAATATAGGCACAAAAAAAAGGGCTGATGTTGCAGGCCACAGGCTCAAAGAATCCATGGCAACAAACCTCCTGTTTCTTGTAAATGTTCAGGTTTTATCAGGTTATTTAAGTGATGTTTATTGCAATACTATCCAAAAGAGTTGCAAACATCACAGCACAGCATAACTAACATAAACAATCTTGACAGCAGCGTAACTCATTTGACTGGCAAATAATAATTTGGTGTCAGAGGAGGGCGGGACATCTGTGTATTTGTATTCCAAATGGAGTAGATTTACTGAGTGATGTTGTTTTGTTTAAAGTTTGTACCACACATCCATGATTGTACATAGGCCTACAGTGTTCTGTGAAACTTGAGGTGAGCTAATGGTAGCTCACAAGACTGGTGTTGGCCCCTGCTGCACACTGTAAAAAATGAAAGTCGGTTAAATTGTTTTTTTTTTACCGACATCATTTATCATATACATGATTTCTTAGTCAAATTTTCTACTGACAAAGGTTTAGATCACTAATCAATAAACAATATCTTGAAACAAATACAGTTAAGTACAGCTAGGCAATACAACTGTGAGCATATTTCAAAATTTTCAGTAACAAGCAAAAAACTAATACATGTAAAAAAAATACAGTACCTCACAAGCCAATCTTGTCATTTTTTGCAGTGTACTATACCTTAATACAGTAATACCCAACCTAGATAACTAGTGACACAGAAACAGCGTGTGTCCCTTTATGTGTGAGCCTGCATGCATTTGAATGTGTTTGTGTGCATGTGCTTGTGTAACTGCTTCTAGGGTAACTGTATGCTTGATGTGTAAGAATGTTTAGCTGTGTGAGTGTTGGTGTGTTGAGTGGAGGCTCTTCACAATGAGATGTGAAGCTTTTAATCCACCGAAATCCTTCACAAGATCAAAGTCTGTGACTGTTGACTGCATAACCACTCACAACAATAGGATTAATGTGTGTGAGTGTGCATGCATGTTTGTCTGTCTACACTATGCACACACCATTTGTGGATGTCTGTGAGTGTATATGCTTGGATTTATGCATATGAAGTATATAGAGTCTGCACCTCACAGTGTGTTCTTTTATTTAGTGTGTGCTTGATTGTGTGTCCATGCACATATGTGTCTACTGTATCACTCTAAGTGTGAGTTTGTCTGTGTGCTCACCTGACTGCCATTTGTTCCTTCATCTCTCTCTTTCTCCACACTTCTTACTTTTTCATCACTATCACTCCTTATTTCCTTTCTTCCCCTGCCTCTATCAGACCGTAGAGAACTGTGTGTGCATCCTGAGGAACCTGTCATATCGACTGGCTGCAGAGACATCTCACAGCCAGCAGGGGGGGTCGGAGGAGCTGGACGGTCTGTTATGTGACACCGGTGGGAAGGACGCAGAGAGTTCTGGATGCTGGGGCAAGAAAAAGAAGAAAAAGAAGGGACATGACCAGGTGAGAAAACAGGGTGCATCCCGAGTTTCTTATGTGCATCCACATTTCCCTCACTGGTATCTTTTCCTTGTGTCTTAGTCCTGCCCTCGTAAGATGCGAGGAAAAGATGCAATGAAAGAGGAATCAAAGAAACACATTTTTAGAGAGACGAGACATCCTTTCCTCTGATCCTTCATCTGAAGCGTTCGTTCACCAACTGAAATATGATAAAGGGGCGTGTCGGTCCAGGAAAGACTCTCCTTAACAATGGTCTCTTGTATTCTTGCTCATGGCTCCACCAGGCAGCCTCCTGTTAGATGAATATGGCTGGCAGGTTCAGTTTACTAGCTCAGGTGATATTTGAGATTCACTGGGCTTCTTGTTTGGGCAGGGTGTTCAGAAAATACTACAGATCCTTGTAGTTAATAATAATGCTGGAGAATAATCATAAGGTGGATTCATTTCTTCCTAATCCTTCTGAACAAAGGGATTTAAAAGTTTCACACTGTGCAGTATCTTTGTCTCATGTCTCTCTTTCTCCCATATCCCCCCTGTGGAGGTGCATTTGAAAACTTCTGCTGTAAGCAGTCCTCTGAAGAAGATCCAGAAAAGCTAATGAATTGGGTTGGTCTGAGCTGATGGCTGCTGTTGTCTTCATGCTTGTTATAAATTATTTATTTATTTATACTGTGTATCTCCTGAGTTCCCTCACACGTATTCAAGGAGCAATGCCTAGACTGTGGTTTTGAGAGATTCCCAAAATTCAGTATTTGCACTGTATTCTGCAACACTGTAGGCTCAGAAAGATCAGTGGAAAAAGAGTGAATGCAGGTTTGCTGTGAGCAGCATAATTCTAGGAAAAGAATGAAAATTGGACTGAAAACTTTGCATCCCAAGCTGAGTTACCCTGCTTTAGAAACACGCAGGAAGAGGAGGGAAAGATGAGCAAATGTGGAGAAAAAATGAACAAAACCAAACTTGTAGCTATCTTTTGAAAAGTCTTTCATGTGTGCAGTATGTACACAAAAATTGGCTCATGTTGTTTTCTACATGTAGCATATGTCTGTGTAGTGGAAAAAAGCAGCCTTTGGTCACTTTGGTGACCATATTCTCAGAAATAAAAGAAAGCTAAAATGTTTCTGTACATTCAGTCTGAATGTACTCAAACCCCCCATTTACACATACAAACTGAAAGACTGAAAATCAGTTTAGATTGAGTTGAGATCAAATCAGGCTTACCAGTTCTCAGGATTTAAGTGAATCATAGTAATGTAAACTAAATGTGGGTCCCTGATAGTGGCTAGGATTCAGCGCTCTCACTGCTGCGGCCCGGGTTCGATTCTGGGTTGCGTCAGATAAGAAAACAATGCACCAAAACATATCTCTCGGGAAATGAACTTGCATGCAACACAGCACTGTAGGGGCAATGGCAACAAACATCTGCCCAATAAAAGTTGAGCATTTAAATTTACTGTCTAAATACTTAACATGCTTGCAAGCATCAGGGCTCATGAGAGAGCCTGCAATTTTGAGCCCCCCGTGTGTGAACACTATCTTTTTAACAATAAAGGTATCAACAAGCCAGAAAATGGCACCCAGATAGAAAGGTGACAGGAGGACATTAACTCTGTACAGTATAATAATATGTCAGTCATGTACATTGTTGGCTCAGTGTTAACCACTTACTGTACATGGGTCGTAAAGTTGTGACATTTGTTTTCTGTGCTGGATATTTTGGTACTATGCTTTTCTGCAATGCTGATTTTATAAGCAAAACTATGGCAAAGCATATTTGTTGATCTATTTTTTATGATGAAAACGAGACTAAAGTGAATTAAAAATTAACCATAGAAACCAAGAACTAATAGTTTTGGTAATGGACAAAAACTAAATGGTGATGCAAAAGCTGGGCAAATGGACCAATGAATCCAAAGTCCTATTCACTAACATGTATGCACCTACGCACTGTTACATATATTTCCTGATTAGTAAAACCATTTCCTCCTTGACCTGTTGCACGATTATTGATAAGTAACATCTTGTACTGAATATTGCTCTCTCTCAGATGTTACTGGAGATTTATGAACTGAATTTACTTACAATATTTTGAGTCAGTTGTCTTTTATGTTACTATTGTTGTGGAACCTGACCTGAGCCAGTATAAGTCAGGCACACACCAGTGATGATTCCCTTATCTTTTGAAAAAACACTAAAAGTCTCTTCAGTCTATAGCAAGGCATAGGATTTATTGCAAAAGGTCACAAATGGCAATATCTCCGTTTCTGGTTCATGAAGCAGAACAGTTAACAGAGCTCCTGCAGCATCTTTTATTACTCTCTACAAGCACCTGGTGTAGACACGCTCTACCCCGTCTTTCTCTCTTTGACCGCCAGTGCAATAGACACCATTGTATTTGAACCTAAAGAGGTCAGCCTTGATCACCCCTTCAGAAGCCACAAAAATATAAGAAATACGTTTAATAAACATGAGAGTGACATAACAGCTGTAGGTCACATGATGACTGACACTAATAATGAGTAAACAATACTCTCTTCAGAATCTGAATTTACTTTATTGGCCTGGTGTGTCGGACACACGAGAAATTGGACTGTGGTACATCGGCTCTCAATGTGCATGTACATATCCCCATGCAAGGGGCAAGTAAACAGTAAACCAGCATAAGGCTGTGTAGTATAACAAAATAAGCAGTATTAACAAGCAACAAACACAGCAAACAATGCAAAATAAGCAGTATAAACAGGCAGTAAACAATGCAGACAGACAAAGGAATGTTCATTGAAATGAGATAATAGGAATAAAAATAGAGGACTTAAAAATAGAGACCTGTACGGATCTGTATAATCTCTTGATCTTCTTGACACGTGTCTGATTAATATCTCCAGACACCTCCAAACACCATAAACATGTTAAAAACACCATTAAAGCAATAAAAAGTAACATGCAAAGCATCACTGTCATACAAATAGGTCCAACCCATCAAAAGGTGATACACAGACACATTAACCTGTTACAGGATGACATCTTAAAAACAGTAAACATTAAAACAATAAAGGCTCTTTCATTTGTCTCCCTCTCTGAGGTGCAGATTTCCTGAGGTTAGTCAATGTGCCGTATCACTGCTGTGCAGAGTGGCATGGACACTGTGTGTCAGTAGTACCATTTGCATTAACCTTGCAACAGACAAGAACAGTATGCAACAAAGATGGTGATAGCGGTACCCTCGTGCTCAGAAGACATAAAAATTAAAAAGGCATGATAAAAATCCATCCATCCATTATCTATACCGCTTATCCTAATGAGGGTCATGGGGGCCTGGAGCCAATCCCAGCTGACATTGCGAGAGAGCGGTGTACAGCCTGGACAGGTTGCCAGTCCATCACAGGGCTGACATGTAGACAAACAACTACACACACTCACATTCACTCCTACGGGCAATTTATAGTCACCAATCAACCTAAGCTGTTTGTCTTTGGACTGTGGGAGGAAGCTGGAGTACCTGGAGAGAACCCACGCAGACACAGGGAGAACATGAAAACTCCACACAGAAAAGAACCTTCTTGCTGTGAGGCAACAGCACTCATGATAAAAATGATTTATATTTCTCCTATGAAAACTACACTGCAGTGTTGTAAGTAATTTAGTTTTTATCCACTAAAACAAATAGAAATGTTACTACTAAAACTGGACTAAAACTAACATGCATTTAAAACAAAATGAGTGCCAAAATTAACACTTTGTGATGCAACAGTGAGGACTGTGATCAGTTACTTCTGCAGTTTCAACTAAGGGATTAAATTTTTTTATTTATTTTATTATTTTATTTTTTTTTTACCTTCAGTCTGTGTGGTGTCCTGGTAGATTGCTAATCTGTCATTCTACTGTTATCTAAAGGTCTCCCTGTGCTCCTTGATCTCCGTCTCTTCCCTTTTAGTTTCCCTTTAATTTCATAAGAATACATTTTAGGAATTTTAATGATCACATAAAGTTTTTCACTACTCACCAAATGCATCATATAGGAGGAATATTTGCCATTATTTGTTTAATGCTGTGACTCTGCTGGTTGGTATTCCCTGCTAGGGGTCCACACCAGGCTAATTAAACCTAAAGAACATCAGCGTAGATAGGAGATTTATTTAAATTAGATGTTGTCCACCACAACAACATTACATGTACTACAAGGTTTTTACACATCAGGAGATTATATCTTACACTGACTACCTGTGCTCAGACTCAAAACTACTAAGCTGATTTTCTGGATTCCTGGGTTTGTCCATCTGCTGCCAGCATGCAGAGTTTCATACAGTACTGCATTTAGTTATGAGACGAGTGCTCTTTTACTTGAGGAATTGGCAGAAACCAAATAGGTGCCTTGGCGTAAGCTCTAACCTCTTGTCATGCTAATAAGCAATCAGCATCACATTCTGGTTAAGTGGAAGACATCTTTACAACTTCTAGTGAAGCAGTGGGGATTGAAAACCCACCACTTCCGGTGGATCAGAGATGGTGAATTGCTCATTAGCCCTGCATGCTTTTCCCCCCACTCTCTTTCATTTCTAGCAAAGACAGAGAAAGGTAGTAATGAGCCAGGCCTTTATCTTCCATTTGTCAAGCAAAGCCTCAACTAACTTTTTTGTGTATCCAGGCAGAACCAGGGAGATGAGGGATCTTTAAACTAATCCTGGGATCAGAAAATAAAGGGACGAATCATAACCTCTCCATAATAATAATATATAACCCCACCCCCACCCTCTCCTCTATCTGTCTCTCTCCACTCCAGTGCAGCTGTGGGTGATTACCATGAAGTAGCGATTGGGGAGCTTGATGGAAAGAGCGAAACTTCATCAACTGTGGGGTAATTAGAGGAGAGGAGAGGAGGATATGTCAATGAAAGGCGGATATAAAGGGAGAGTAAGGAAACTGATAAAGTGGGAGGGGCTAGAAAAACAAAGAGAGGGCAAAGTGTATGTAATAGAATAGTAACTTCAAAGATAAACAGGGAAACAAAGCAAGACAATCGATTGACTACCATAAAATCAACAAAATGTGATTTTATTTCACTGTAGTGTATTGGCAATATTACAGAGCATAAACAGATGTCATGTGAGATTACGTCATTGCAGATGGAAGGAAGTGTTAGGTATTTTTAGTCAGATTAGAAATTAGTTAGTGTCTAGTTAGACTGTTAAATGCTTAGGCATGCTTATGAGTTTCTACAGGGTACATCTGGTCAAGGATAACTAGAGAGAAGAGTTGATGACTGTCAGCAGACAGGGTGTTTAATATTATTATTATGACGTGTATAACTGTAGCCTTAGCCATAATATGTTCTTATGTTTAATGTCACGACATGTCACTAGAGGTCGTGTGAGAATGTCTTTAGCTACACACCACTTAATCAACAGACACACAAATTGATTTGCGTCATGTTTTGACTAATGCTATGGCCAGCTGCAAAGCTGGTAACAGAGACGTCTCGGTTGACGTTTCTGTGTTTTAGTGCCAAACAAATGTGGACTAATGTTATATAATAGCAACAAGCAAGGAACTATAACCTAACCTACACACATTGCACAGAATAAAATGTACTAGATGACAGATATAACACACAAAGACAATAATGTAAGCTGTTATGTACATGAAAAGAAGCTGGCTGAAAACCTCCTCCACAGGAATCCTAAAGGGGTCAGGATCATGCACTTTATGGTTACATACATCATATTATGCTAAAAGACTGAAGCTAAAATTGCATTTCCCAGGCAAAAAGTCAGTATCATCCCCAGCTGATGACATGGAAATAAAGAAAGAGCATTGTTCTTGTTTTGCAGTATAGAGGTGGTTCATCTCATAATGAGGAAAATGTAATATCACACTGTTCTTCCAGTTAAACATACAGTAGCCACGTTTGGCTGCTTAGTTTACTTAAAAAAGCAAAACCGAAGCTAGCTTTATGAGTAACTGTATTTTCAAAGAGTGTGTTTTTACTTGAATCTTTACCAGATGGGGGCTTTTATGATGAGGACTACGAAGCACGCTTGACAAACAAATACAAGAAAATATCTGTATCAATGTTGCACAATATGGCAAATGTATCCTGCGTAAAATAATTAAGATTTTTAATTGATGATCAGTGATCTACCATTACATGAGACCAAATCAATAAATAAATGTAAAATCAAATCAGAATAAGTTAATTCCAGCTTAATCAGACTCATTAGTTTGCACCACAGAAAACAGTATAATGAGAAGGTGTTATGATCCTATTATCCCAATATGATTCTGTTAAATGTTCATAATAGTAATATTGAGTTATTGGCCAGCCCTAGGCTGCGGTGAATGAACAGCAGTTTGGCACTCATGAGCTTCTGTTATATTTGCATTTAAATGTGCACTGTTCTCTGTGTATCCAAACATAAGGGGAATTTATATAACAAAATATTCCATGTGTAGTCCAGGGAAACAACTAATGATTACTTTTTGATGCAAATTACATTTCTTTTTATAACACACCTACAGTACTCATCAGCTCACTGTAGTAATTGTTACTGCCTCTGCTCTGTGTGAATTATATTGCAGTGTTGCTGAGAAGTCCCGTGCAACATTTACACAGATAATATTAATGTACAGCGTGTGTGTGTCTGTGTTTTCCAGATGCATCTTCAGTGCAGGAGAAAATGTCAAATTTCAATTACATAGAAGATAGAAAAACAAAATATGCAAAGAGATGAATACAAGCTTGTTTATATTCGGCTTATGAATAGTAAATCTCTTTCTCTCCTTTCCGATTGTTGCCTGACGGGACCATGCTGGCACCCTACCACTGTCAAATCTCGCCTCACACAGTATCCAAAATGCTTTTCTATCCTGAATTATGTCTCATCTTCTGCAGTGGGATGGCGTCGGCCCATTTCCAGACTTGGCAGAGCCCCCGAAAGGCATCCAGATGTTATGGCACCCCACTATCGTCAAGCCCTACCTCACACTGCTGTCTGAGTGCTCCAACCCAGACACCCTGGAGGGAGCAGCTGGGGCTCTGCAGAACCTAGCTGCTGGCAGCTGGAAGGTAAGAATCCACTACTGTGGCTCTATCATTGTGATACTGAAGGGCATCTGCAGAAGTGGACTGAAATTTCAGTGGGTGCCAGAAAGAGTTTTGAAAGGGGGAAATCTTGGTGCACTGCAAAATAACAGCCCAAACTGCCCCCGATATTCTGGTCATTGTAAACCTTACCTGCTGGCCCTTCAAAACCTGCTCATGCTTGAGTGTAAGTATTGGATTCACATTGCTTTGAAGTCAATACTTTCATATAATAAGATCGAAAGGTTCAAGTCAAATTAAATGGCATAAATTATACAGGGGACCATCAGAAGATTGCTTTAGATATAAAACGTTTATTATATTTATAATTTTAAACTCATTTTTAATATTTTCAGTTATCTTGAAAAACTGTGATTCATGTAGAAAGGAAGTGAAATGCATCAAGCTTTTGGGAAAATTGTAACAACTATCCTTTTCTTGCAAAATAACTGTCAGACAATTAGACAAATAAAGTTTGTAGTTTGTGTTTCAAGAGCTTTAAGCCACATTATGTGTCCTGCTTCAGCATGTGTGTACACTACATATGCTACATATCAACTAAATTATAGGCAACAATTAAATCATCTCGATGTCCCTTTCAGCTTCAGAAATGCTATGTTAAGTGAACATTATGTTGACAACTTTTTTCAGACTGCTTTCTCAAAGGTGAAAAACAAACTTACCGGATGTTTCTTTATCAAAGTATATTATCCAGAAAGATTTGAAATACTTTTTCTGTTAACCATGCTAGCAGCATAAATTCATGGTTCCCAGAGGATGAATCCAAATGCTTTGGTGACTCCCTGACTTTTCATCTACCGCCATCATTATCTCAGCTTCTTGATGGATTAGTACCAAATTCTGAACACGCTTTCTTGGAACCCATATTCTCACCACTGATTTTTCCAGCAGCACTGCCATCAGTTCACAGTTTTAATATCTAAGAATTTGGTTTGTGACCAAACTACAAAACTAACAACATTCTCATTAATCTCAACTGTAGTTTTTGTTTAGTGCAAGTTAGCAAATGTTAGTATGATAACACAATAACATCATATTTGACAAATACAAACATCGTAGCACTGTCAGTGTGAGCATGTCAGCATGATATTATCATTTAGCTTAAAGCACTACCTAATGACATGCCATTGACTGTATATAAAAGATGGACAAACCCTCAATGACTTCACCCACTGGTTTTCTGAAAAGCAGTTCTGACTCTCAAACTGACTGTCGCCATCTTGGTAGTGCTTCACTCTGCCTGCTACGGCTAATCCAAAAATGGGCAAAGAGGTAGAACTTACTAGACAGTTAGCAGCTACCTGTGGCAGAACCCTCCCACTTGTCACTCAAAGTGATCATGCCCTTAATTACGTATAGCGTTTAGCCTCAATATGTAGTCACAAGAAAAAAATAATGGAATTTTGCAATTTCCTGCTTTTCTGCATACATTGGTCATGAAATGTGATCTGATCTTTACCAAAGTCACAAATATCAACAAACACGATGTTTCTAAGATGATAAAACATGAACAGTCATGATCTTTCATGTCTTTATTGAGCGCATCCATTAAACATACAAAGTGATTTTGAAAAAGTGATGACAACAGTGTTTTAATAACTGGTTGAACCACCTTTGGCAGCAATGCCCTCAAGCAAGCGCTTCCTGTAGCTGTGGATTAGACAGGCACAGCATTTAGGAGCACTTTTGGGCCATTCTTCCTACAGAACTGCAAACAGTGCATTACTTTTTCTTGCAACTGTAGTTTAAACTATCAATCCCTGTACAGTTGCCATGAAAGGCTAAATTAGCTATAGAGACCAAAACCATTTTGTGAATCAGGCTGTAAACATGTTTATTGCTGCTGTAAATTTGAGTATTTTAACATGGGAGTTCATTGGATTGACTTCCTTCTGGAGCCAGCCTCATGTGACCATTTGAGGAACTGCAGATTTTAAAACTTCCACACTGGCTTCATTTCTCAGCCTTGGAGGTTGTGACTTGCATGATATGAAGTGCAGTGGTCTTCAGCAGCTGTGATAATACAGTACATGGTATAAATTTCCAGTATTGCAAAATGTGCCCTGATAATGTAAAGGAAAAGAATAACACACCTCCTCTAACCCCTCCCATCCCTTTGGCATCCCCAGTGGTCAGTGTATATCCGAGCTGCAGTGCGTAAGGAGAAGGGCCTCCCTATCCTTGTGGAGTTGCTGAGGATTGATAATGACCGGGTGGTGTGCGCTGTGGCCACCGCGCTGAGAAACATGGCTCTGGACATCAGAAACAAGGAGCTTATTGGTGAGTTTTTCAGCCAAAAAAGACAAAAAGTAATACAAGGAGTGTAGAACAAAGAACACACAGAAAGTCTGAAAAAAGGTGAGAAATAGTCTGCCACTGGGTTATTGCATAATTTTCAAACAAAATGAGCGTTGCTCAAGCTCTTTCTTTGAGTGTTACATTCTGGATGTAAGTGAAGTGCTTATTTCTCCCTTAAACTGACAACAAGTGTAGTTATCTTGACCCACTTGCAGAATTACTCACTTGCTTTAACACTGAGTAAAATGGACATGTTTAGCAGTAATTTTTTAAAGAGCAGTTAAAATGTCATTTGGGCAGAGGATTACTGCTTTTAGGAATGGCAGTCTGTCAGTGGGTTCGTGGATTTGTCTTTAATAAAAACAATGACTGGGTTCATAATATTTGTCTGTGTTTCTGCAGACAGCATTTTTCTTGAAGCAGATAGTAGTGTTGCTATGACTGATCATCTGATGCTTGATTTTCCTTTGGAGACCAAATGATGTTTTCTGCTTTACTACTGGTCCCCATAGTAACAACAGCCTGCCTCCTTCGACATACTCTGTCTGATGCTTGAGCCACTGAGCTAAGCTATGTGCATATGTGCTTGTGTGTGTAGTCTAAGTAAGTGAATGCAACCATTCATGTGAACAGTGTATGTTGGTTTTAATGTCATTTGTATGTCATGCTGCCACCAGGCATATATGCATATATTGACTATACACACTATAGGCAATACTGATGTATTGTCCTGCCCTCACTTGGGTTGTGTTAACATGATGAAATTGCATTGGAGACACTGCCTGTTTTGTAGATGAGTCCTCAGTGCTTCCAGCAGTAGTGTTCTTTTATTGCTGCAGTTTATTGCTGCAAACTTGACTGAGATATCCAGTTTCACTGTTTGTATGTTTGTAATGATGTACTGTAAACAATGTTAATGCTGTGAATATATGGCAATAGTTAAATTAAGCTGTTTACACAGTTCAATTATATATGATAACTTGCTGTAATAAGCCAATTTACATTGATTATCTAAAGAGAACTGTGTGTGTTTTATTGCTAAAATTTAAAATACAATTTAAAAAAGCTGAAGTGAGAGTTGGTATGTATGAGCTGAAGCAACTGATTTAGCTTTAGCTCAGTAGTGTCCTGCATTCAGCGTTTTTCTTAGACTTTTGTCTGTAAATGCTATTGTTGCATTGTTCACACTAAATATCGTCATTGTGCAACCTGTGTAACAAAACATCTGCTGACTGTCATAAGCAGTTAAAACCATCTTTCACTTGTAGTTGTCAACATAAACACTGTACATCACTGCAATTGCATTTATTATATTTGGTGTTATTTGTATTTTATATAGAGTGTTATTCAGAAGTCTCTGGAGTAGCTGATTCATGCACTAGCTGGATTTTTACAGCAGGGAAACACATGTAGTGTGGATATGAACTGTCAGTAGGTCATGACGTGCCCCCACCCCAATACCCCAGGGTGATGATCCAATCAGAATCAGAGGTAGAGGGCAGAATGGACAAGATTGCCTGTAGCAAAACAGGGTTGTAAAGAGAGATGTAGTCAGTCAGTGTTGAAACACATGGTCATGTTTCCATCACTGCCTGACAGCCACTCAGCCAGCCTGTGTTTTTACTCCCCTGGTAGAAGCTTGGGGGAGGCTCATGTTCCTATTACCTTTTCATATTTGTATTTGTATTTATATATACATCAAATAAAGCTAGCAGGATCATTGTGCACATTTTGAGAAAAAGAACTGATGCAGATCTTTAGGTTTTAGTGACTGATCTTTATCTATCCAGACAGCATTTTTTACTAGCCTTCAGTAGTTCCCAGTGTTATTATATAGCTGTATATCAGCAGAAAGAAGAACTACAATAAAGTAAATATAAAGTTAGTGTATACTATAATTCAAGTGCTACATCCCAAGATGACAACTTTTTCTACTGGAGTTAGTAGAAATTAGATATTAAAACAAGTTTCTTCCTCCTTTGCCTGACTCTGTTGTAAATTTACTCAGACTTTAAAAACAATTCAGCCAGTGTTGTAGGCACTGATGTAAGATTTAAAGTGCTGCCAAAAACACAAAATAGAAATTTTGATCAAAATTAGCAAGACAAAAGCTCACATTATTTTTATTTGATCACAGTGTCTCCACCTGTTTTTCTCCTTTCCCTCTCCAAATCCCTTCTGCTACATTATCTCACTTCTTCCCATTGTAACCACAGGTAAATATGCCATGAGAGACCTGGTGCACCGTTTGCCTGGGGGCAGCAACAACAACAACAGCAGTGGTGGGAGTGTAGGAGGGGGGGGAGGCGCCAACAGCAGCAACCTGGTGGGGAAGACCATGTCAGATGACACCATCACGGCTATCTGCTGCGCGCTGCACGAAGTCATCACTAAGAATATGGAGAACACCAAGGCCCTGAGGGACGCTGGTGGCATTGAGAAACTCATCGGCATTGCTCGCAGCAAAGGAGACAAGTAAGCTGAATGAGAAGATGTTGACAGATGGAAGAGAGGTATAGAAAGAGGATGAGCAGGTTACATGTAGAAATAATTTCCCCTAGGAAAGCATTATTAGAAAGCATTTAGAACATCACATACACATATAAATAGTGATATCAGAAAGAACAGTACTGATAGGTAAAAGACAAGCGCCACAGGTACATTTTGTTATTACATTGTAGTTACAGTTAAATACTAAACATTGCATCATAGTCACTGAAGTCAATCAAAATGGCTGGAAATAATCTGTAATCATTGGCTCTTTATTCATGAATGTTGCTCGTGAGACGCACATTCCTGCATAATGCTAATGAAGCAGGCTAGTGATGTATACGAAGGATACATTTGGTTATTTGCTCATATAAACAAGTAGAAAAAGGTGAAGCATGTTTTTAAAAAAAAAAAGATATTTGGCATTATTATAAGAAGGCTAGTTGGTGGATTAGGCCAAGAGAGTTAAGCTTCTCAAAGTCGATGCAATAAGGAAAGGCTGAAAACTGGCTGCGATGCTGATAGAGTGGAGAAGTCATGCAGCAGAGACAGCAGGAAAAGAGTGAAAGTAGCTTAGAGAAGCTGTGTGCTTGTTTTAGGCTGTGAGTCACCAGTCACAACAATCAGCAGAAAATGAGGTCCAAGAAAGTTTGGCCAGTTATTTACCCGTTGGCTCTCTCTGTCTGTTTACCAGCACACCTACTTTACTTTGCATTTGTTTTATTTGACACAGAGAGGAAACATGAAGAGAAAGCAGGGCTGAGATGCAACTGGGGATCACGGCCATTACTTTGCATTATATCCATTTTAGTTTTTATTTATTTATTTTTGAATGTTTATAATCTATAGGAATTACACTTAGCTATGTTATATTTAGGTTTTTGTCTGTTTATTGTGTGTACTCAGAATATTTTTACTGAAACTAAATAACAGAATGAAATAAATAAATTTACATATTAATGTTTTGAGGTAGCTAACTTTACACCTCATCAAATTGCATGAATTCAACTCGAGTCAAAAGCTGAATCGGCAGGTAATGCGATCTGTTAAACTAGTTAGCTTTGGCTGGACTTTAGCTACCATTTATTCCTTTGATTGGATTTAGTTACTGCCTTAATTAATTGTGTGCAATAACTGAATAAACAGGCAGTGCCAAGATAGTTTTCATTTACAGGAAAAATAAATTAATACATGTAGCTAAGACTGGACCATCTTATCAGCTATCCTTACCTAGCATAGTTGGTTTCACTGCCTAGCTTTTAGCTGTTATAGTTACTGTACACACACATATATATATATAGATAGATTGATAGATATAGATATAGATGAGAGTTGGAAACACAAGAGTCACACCGGCTCGGACGTTGCCCAGGTCAACAAGGTCTGCGTCAGGTGTTGAGGAACCAGGGCAACCTGATGAGAAATGGGCTACTGGAACAAGAGCAAGACATTCATGGACAAGAGATGAGAACAGGGAACTACTGAAATGCTACTATACAAGTAACCCTAGCGATGCCTCGGTGCCTCAGATCAGCAGATCAGCTTCTTCTGGAGGCACCGAGGGCCAGGCGGAAAACTAGGGGGGATAGAGCCTCTGCTGTGGTACGTCCAAACCTATGGAATGCGTTGTCGCTTTATATTAGGCAGGCCCCCTCACTGTCTACTTTTAAGTCTTATCTGAAGACATACTTGAATGAGACTCTGTCTGTAGTGTTAGTGTTTATATTACTGTTTATAGCTTTTTATGTGTGGTTTTTTTATATTTGTATGATATGTTAAGTGCTTTGGTCAGCTGTGCTGTGGTAAAGCGCTATATAAATAAAGTTGAGTTGAGTTGAGTTGAGAGAGAGAGGGGTTACATACGGAGGATGTGGGACTTATGGATACTTTGAAACCCAACAGCTAGACTAACATCGAAATAACTAGTAACTCAGTGTTCTAACATCTGCAAGGAGCACCTGCTATCACAACTAGAGACTGACGAGGTACAACACGAATGCTACGACAAGGGGGAGCCAGGACAACAGGTCAGGAGGGAGATATCATCATCATCATCACCCCCACAATTGGAGATTGATTGATGAGCTTAATACAAGAGTAACTGACCTGAGATTGAAGATCATGGCCAAGATAGACACCTGGAACCTCTGTGGCCGGTTACCAAGACTAAGTGAAGTGCCTTCTGAAAGTCTACTAGAAGATGTGAATGCAGCACTAAGAACAATCCCTACTACGACCATCACTGAGACCAACAAGCTGGTATACACCACAGCAGCCGTGATCCTTGAGATGCTTGGCTATAAGTTCAACCAAGGCCATAAGGAGCAGTACGCTCCATAGAAAAGAAGGCTGGAGACCAAAGTCAAGGCAACATGGAGAGAAGTTAGCAAGCTATCAGAATTGCAGAAAGGCGTGATGAAGAAAGGGGTACCTAAGAAGTACAACACACTGTCCATAGAGACCTTAGAGACTGCCAAGCAAAGAGGTACACCAGAGAAGCTGAAGCCAGGACAATAAACCGAATGCTCTCCACTGAGCCATCCAAAGTGTACTTTCAGTGGCAGTGTAATAACATGAGAGCAGACCCACCAGGGCTGATCATGGAAACTCCTGACAGGCATCATAGCAGCTAAGATGGCTCAATACATGAGCAGCACCCAGAAAGGAATTGGTAGCAACACCAGAGGAGCAAAGCACCAGCTACTGGTTTATAAAGTAGTCACTCGAGACTGCAAGACCAGACATACCAACCTGTGCACTGCCTGGATTGACTACAAGAAAGCCTATGACTCAATGCCTCACACATGGAATGCTTGAAACTGTACTCTAAAGGCCTTCATCAAGAACTCAATGAGAATTGGCTTGAAGTCAACATCAAGTGCAGTATTTACCAAGGAGATGCTCTGTCCCCCTGTATAGGGTTGAACCCCCTCAGCTCAGATCATCACCAAGTGTGGTTACTGACTACAGAATGGACTACAGACGGTTTCGCCCCAAATCTAGCATCCTGAGACTGTACACTAAGCAGAAGGAAGGAGGCCGAGGATTAGTGAGTGTCAGAGCCACTATCCAAGATGAAACAACAAAGATCCATGAATACATCAGAAGATGGCCCAGAGTGATGACATGCTTAGTGAATACCTCAGGCAGCAGAAACCAGAGGAACAAGGGAAGGACGAGCAGGAACCCTCATGGAAGGACAAACCCCTGCACGGTATGTACCACCGTCACATAGAAGAAGTGGCTGATATCAAAAAATCCTACCAGTGGCTGGACAAGGCTGGACTGAAAGACAGCACAGAGGCACTAATCCAACACAGGAATAGGCTCTAAGTACAAGATCAATAGAGGCCAGGGTCTACCATACCAGACAGCACCCCAGGTGCAGGCTGTGCAAAGATGCCCCTGAGACAATCCAGCACATAACAGCGGGGTGCAAGATGCTAGCAGGCAGGACATACATGGAACACCATAACCAAGTGGCTGGCATAGTGTACAGAAACATCTGTGCCGAGTACAGGCTGGAAGTCCCAAAGTCAAAATGGGATGCACCTCCAAAAGTGGTTGAGACTGACCAAGCTAAGATCCTGTGGGACTTCAAGATACAAACTGACAAACTGGTAATGGCCAACCAACCAGACATAGTAGTGGTGGACAAACAGAAGAAGAAGGCCGTAGTGATAGATGTAGCAACCCCAAGTGATAGCAACATCAGGAAGAAGGAACATGAGAAGCTTGAGAAATACCAAGGGCTGAAAGAAGAGCTAGAAAAGATGTGGAAGGTGAAGGCACAGTGCAGTGCTAGGAACAGCTAAGATACTGCGCAGGACCTCGAGCTAGAAGGAAGGAATGAGACCACCCTGAAGTGAGGGGGGGCGAGTGGGGAAATTTTTATATATACATACAAAATGTTTTATTGATCTCCAAGTTGTCAAATTGTCTGATTCACTTCATAACTCAGTTTTTATCACTGTCTGTAGAAGTATTCTGTCTTTGTAAGGCTGTACAATAAAGATAATTTTTGTTAATATTTAAAATGTAATTTTATTGGAGCTGTTTTTAGACATAAAATATAAATCCTTAGATAAACATATTGTGTTTTAAACATTTTCTAGTTCTTCAGAGTACATTTTATGTTCCCCGCTTTGCATCCAAACAATAACATTCACTAAAATGACTTGAAGAAATAAAATTTCTAGCCACTGATAAGTCATATGAGCCAGTTAAACTCACAGCCATTAGTCACTTGAGTCAAACCCTGGAGGATGCAGAATGCAATATTGGCCAATCAATCAATGAACTAAACAATTATACAATTTGGCCAGAGAACAATTTAACTGCCATATTTGAGGAGATAAAGAAGACATTTTCATCTATTTTTCAGTTGTCTTTCCTCTTTGGAGGCTGCAGTGAGTTGGTTTTTTACAGACCAGTTTAGTGTTTCTAGTCTACAGTATCTATTTTTCATTATTGTGCATTGGGATGTGTTTGTACCTCCCAAAAGCACAAAACAAAGAAACAGATAGTCAAGCTTTATACTGTATGTGTTTTTTTCTCTCTCTCTGCTGAATTCCCAGACATAGTCCTAAAGTAGTGAAAGCAGCATCTCAAGTCCTGAACAGCATGTGGCAATACAGAGACCTCCGCAGCCTCTACAAAAAGGTAAAGTCTGCAGGTCTGCAGGTCTGTGTGTGTGTGTGTGTGTGTGTGTGTGTGTGTGTGTGCTGGCTGGACAAACACTGGAAATATCAGTCATGTTGATTTTTCTGTATTACTGAGATGATACCACTGTAAGTCATGTAAATAGTGCACTACTTCCAACACTGTCTCTTTTCCTTCCCTTCCCTTCCCTTCCCTTCCCTTCCCTTTCTTCTTTTCTGTCCCTCAGGATGGCTATTCTCAATACCATTTCATCGGCTCTTCCTCCACAATAGAAAGAGATAGACAGCGACCTTATTCCTCCTCTCGTACTCCATCCATCTCTCCTGTGCGGACCTCGCCTAACAATCGATCAGGTGAGTCTACTTCACCCCCAGCTCCCCTGACTTCCCTTTTGTCCTCCATCACTCTTCCCATCAATACAATCCTCTCAAACAAACACCACTTCAATATTGCTGAAGTCTTCTTTAACCTTCACTCTATGTCAGCTGCCAAGGAAATATTCTGCTGTCAAGTAAAAACCTTGCACCATGTGTATTGAAAATGATTTTCTACCCTTTGCATTGCTGAGAATAGGGTTTGACTGCAATGAGGCTTGAAACTAACTAAAACTAAAACACATATTTTATTTAACCTTATTTAAGTTCTATGTGTGCACATTTTGCTTTGTGCTGCTGTAGCCTTTACATTATTCCGGCAGCACAGGCATAGTAAAACTGTTGGAGATGACATTTTAGATATAAAAGAGATCAACAAGAGATTTACTCCAGAAAAGGATTGAAACATATTTGCTGTTTCAAGCTTTTAGTGTTAGTTTAAATCCATCATCAGATAAGGTGATCATTGTGTTACTCTAAATTTAATTCCCACTATTCTGCTCCCTAACAGACACATCACTAGACAAAACAGAATCTTTATACATAATTTGGAATATAACATTTCTTTGACACCAACTCAGAAACTTGGGTACTTCCATTAGATGTATAAGTGTATAAGTGATATGTTATGTTGTGGCTTATTTCCTTTAATTTTAGTGGAGTTACATGTGTTTGAAAAAGAGCTCCACGTGTACAGTTTTATACCTTGCACAACTGGATAGGTATTCTGAATGTTGCACAAATGAATCCCACTGTTCAAGAGATGTGTATCATAAGCTTTTCTCACTGTGATTTAATAGTCTCTGTGCCAGTAACAGCAGTGGAGAGACAGTGGTTTATATAACTGTGATACTACATGAATTGTTCTGAAAAATCCTATAGGGGTGTTTAGGAGTACCTGATATTTATGCTTTTTTATTATTTTTCTTTCAATGAAACAATATCCATTGTGCCTGGCATATACAAGCCTATGGGTCTGAACCCATTTATTACGCTTCCATATGAAATTGCAAAAGCAATCCATAAAAAATGTGGAATAAGTGGATAGGTTTTGTCACCATGTCCACTGTGGGCACATCCATTACTCATTGCTAGGGGAAAGACACTTTAAAATGAAATATGTGGAGTTATTTCACCATTCAATAAGCTGAAAGTAACAATAGAGCTTTCATGCATGCTTACACCAAGACAAAGGCTGTGAGTGCTTTGATTCTGGCGTCAGCATTTTAACGTCCTCACATAGCATTGCTTACATGCTGATGTTTACCATGTTGACCATGTTAGTTTTACATGTTAACATTTCATCATGATGTGGATTGATCATCTTGAAATCATGATGTCTGAATGGCAAAACCTCTGGTAGTTTTATAAAAAGTCAAAACTGTCAACCACCAGAGCTAGAAGAAAAATTAGAGGATCACTATGTCAGTATACTTTATTCTCTGCGGACCATGAAGGTCTGTACCAAATG